GTGCGGGTGGGCGGGGGCGGTGGGGGGCGTGGTTGAGACGGGTATTGTGGAGCAGCAGGCGAGGGATCCCGCGCGGCGCCCTCAGAGTCCCTGTGAGTTACCTTGCTGCCTCCATGCTCTTTTATCTTGTTAATGTCAGGACGTTTTTATCCTTTGATTTCTGGAGGGAGTCCTGTGACTTTGGTTGGGGCCAAAGATTACAAACAAGGATGTTTTATGCAGCTGCTCAGCAGGTTGGGGATAGCTGGGTTTGGCTGTAGGATAAGGGAAGTGTAGGCGTCCTGCCCGCTGGTTCAAACATCAGTTGGAGAGCAGGGAGGGGCGGCAGAAGTAACTGCAGAGTCCCCGGGGCAGCGCCTTTCAAGGCTGTGATGTCGGCTCAATACGTGTGATACAGTTCAAGGCCATGTCCACAAAATCAGCCACAACAGGCCTGTGTGTTTTTGTGGCCGTGGCTTATGTAGAGCTAGTAACGACTGTCACCATCTCGGAATACAGCAGCTGCCAGTGTCAGATTGCTTCCCACAGGACCTCATCGCGGGGCAGCTTGTTTCTACTACATGAGCCCTGCCTGGTGTGAGTGTTATCCCCCCGCTCTGTACGGGGGACCCTGAGACCAAGAGCTTGGTGACTCGGTGCACGGCAGGGCCAGGGAGGACGCCAAGCTCTCCCGCCCGCATCCCTGGCGATGTTGTGGCTGAATCCCGTCTCTGGAAAAGTGTGTGATGGAGCCCAGTGCCTCCAGACATGCCCTTCTTTGGAAATAGTGTCTTGGGGGAAACCAAGTCAGCACATTTCTGTTAAGTCACCTGGTTTATGGTGCTTGTTACGCAGCTGCAGCAGACTGATGCGTTCCACAGGAACACTTCCCCAACTCCGACTCACATTCATCAGGGACCCTCTGTTCCCCTGGAGGACGGAGCTGCACCGGAGGCGTCAGGGAGGGTGAGGAAGAGGCGTGGCCGGGCCTGGGCCTCTGGACACAGGGGACACACGCAGTCCAGGCCCTGTCTGGAGACACAGGATGCTGGTGGGGTGTCCAGAGCCCTGGCTGGGGCCGTTTCTTCATCTGAAAATTGGTCGCGTGTCCAACATCCACAGCGTATGACAAGGCCACTGGCCACACAGCCTGTGAGCATGTGGTATGTGGACAGTGTGACCGGGCACCCAGATTTCAGGTTTTAACTGATTTTCATTAATTAAAATTACATTGCTGGCCAGGCACAATGGCTCACGCCTATAATCCCAGCACTTTGGGAGGCTGAGGTGGGTGGATTGCTTGAGGTGAGGAGTTCGAGACCAGCCTGGCCAATGTGGCGAATCCCCGTCTGTACTAAAAATATACAAATTAGCCAGCCTTGGTGGTGCGCACCTGTAATCCCAGCAACTAGGGAGGCTGAGGCAGGAGAATCACTTGAACCCGGGAGGTGGAGGTTGCAGTGAGCCGGGATTGCACCACTGCACTCCAGCCTGGGCGACAGAGCAAGACTGTGTCTCAAGAAAATTACTTGGTTGCGTGTGACAGCCCAGTGGACGTGCGGCCACTGACCGGGGGGTGCCCCCTCTCCACACCCTCCGATTCTGCTTTCCTCAGACAAGGAGGGCCGTGCTCAGGCTGATGCCCCGGAGGGGTTAGAAATCAGTATTTTAGGAACACGTGTCAGCGCTCACAGCTGGGCAGATATGGACGGACACCTCGGGGTGACCGCTGAGTATATTTTGTGGCCGCGGCAGCCCTGGCAGGAGAACTCAGCCTCCTGATCTTTCTCAGCTGCCGTGGAACAGGCAGGTTGCGTGGAACTGAACTTTCAAACGTGCCTTGGGCAGTGAGGATAATTTCATTCGCGTCTGTGGTCTTCTGTAAATCCTTCAGAGAGGAAGAAATGAACCTATTATGGTCCTGCCTTCCTGCTCCAGCCAGAGCGGGTGCGGGAAGCGACGAGTGCTGAGCCTTCCAGAGGCCGCCGCTGGTCTGGATTTAATGCACTATCCTGCCTGTGACTGTGGCGGGGAGGACGCTGTCAATGTTAGGTATGAGCACGTTTTTCGAACACAGATTGTCTGCCTTTAGGGAAGTCACAAGTGGATTCTGCCCTGGAAGGTTGATGATTTGTCTTGGATCCTCAAGGGAAAAGAACTACCTGGCAGGTTCAAGGAAAGCTCTGTGGGAGCCGCAGTGTTGGGCATTGTGTTTGTGGGACCATCCGACGAGATTCCAGGGTGCAGTGAGTGGCTCTGCTGGTCGGAGCTGCTGGGGGCTGCCTCCTGGGGAGAGCGAGGGGCTGGAAGGACCCCAGGGGTCGGGCGTACTTGGCTCCATGAGAGTGGACGGTGCACAGCTGCCCCAGGAACCCCATGACTGGCTCGTAGGATCATTCATCACCTGGCCAACACACCGTGCGTCTGAACTGGTGGCTCTCCAGTGATTTCCTCCCCAACAGCCCTTTTTCAAATCGAACAGAGATGGTGGAAAACAGGCCCCAGCAGATGCAACTGTGTCAGGCGTGAGGCCTGGTCGCCTGAGTGTCCGTATCCAGGGATGAGGTTTGAGGTTTGCAGTTCTGCGGAGCGAGGACCCTGCCCGTCCCTGACCCTAAAGGAGCCCCAGAGGCAGGACGTGGGCTCCCATCAGCACCTCCAGCGCTCTGGTTCTGTGCATTGTCAGAATCCAGGGTTTGGAGGGACGGTCACGGGAGCTGCAGCATTGGAGGGGGGTGCCGGCTCCCATGGAGGTGACATCCTGGGCTGGTCCTGCTGCGGCGGCCCACAGCTTGGGGTCCCAGCCCCGCCCTCCTGCCCCAAGCACGTGTCCTACTGGCCTCACACGCATGTCTCGTGACCTCTCACGGTCCTCTCCAATGCTGTCACCACTGCCTGTGATTTTCATCTGGATAGAAACGTGGCCGAGACCGTGAAAGGGCACCGATGGTGGTGGAGTCCTGCGCTGTGATTTGATTGATTGAGACTTCATTCCCGCTTCTTCAAGACGTGTCTGTGGAGTGGTGTCGCCTGTGCTCGCGTTAGTCTAGAGCTGTACTGGGGATGCTGGAGTTAGTCTGGAGTTAGGTCGGTGCCAGGGATGCCGGAGCAGGCCCCGAGTTCCGCTGTGGACGTGCCTGGGGCTCACTCGTGGGCAGCCCCTCCTGAGGAGCAGCACCCAGCAGCAGCAGCAGCAGCTCACGATTTCAGCCGGGAGGAGACTGTGAGGGAAGAGATCCCTTAGGTGGCGTCTGCAGCTGACTAGGTCAGCGTTTCCCCTCTGGCTGTTAATGGGAAGTCGGCACAGAAAAGCATTCTGTGGGCAACTGAATTTAGGGAAGGACGCGGCAGAGCCTGCCTGTGGAAACGTGTGTCTCTGATCTCCACGTAGGGTGTGGAGGTGGTAGCCTTTTCAGACCTAGTGGATCGTTGACTGCCTCCTGAGGGGGTGGGTTCTGAGGCCTGGCCTTGATCCCTGAGGCCCTTTGGAAAGTTCTGGAAAAGGTGAGTGAATGGGTGTGGCTGTGGAATGAGACAGAGGGCAGATCTGCAAGGAGCCCTCGGAGGTGTCGAACCTCAGGACTTGAGTGTGGGTGTGTGTTCTTGCACTGTTGGGCATGGGGACTAGGAGCTCATCAGGGAAACAGTGTCAGATATGACCCCACAGGCTCAGACCACACTGATGAAAAATACCGACAGCTTCCACGTGGCACGGGGCCAGCACCCAACCCTGTGGTGGTCACAGGGGTTAGTGCCTCCCTGCCTCGACTGTCTCACCAGGGTTTGCTCTCTGCCTCAGCTGCACGGTCAGCTCTGTGCAAATGAGAAGCACGTGATGGAACTTTTAATTCCACATTTTGCACAGCATTTGCTAGGTACTAAAACTCATTATTGTTTTATTTCTGTCTCTCTTGATTTGCACAGAGTTGAAAGTTTGTGATACTGTCTTGTTTGTGATTGATTGTATTTGGGAGAGAATTGTTCTTTTTTCAACATAGAAGAATTGGCGGTGGGGGGATGGAGGAGAAGGGAGTGGTTATTCCAGATCATCTCTTGTGGTTTCATCCATTGCATTTATGAGAGCCTGCTGTATACTCAGCCAGACTGAAAGTCGATCCAGGGCCAACATATGACTGGTGTTTCTTTGCAACACCCTCTGTTCGCCCTCTCTCCATGAGTAAATTGCCCTAGAACAGGTAATAAGCAGAGACCTCTGTTCTCCCTCTCTCCTGAGTAAACTGCCCTGCCCTAGAACAGGCAATAAGCAGAGACCTGTAGATGCTGCCTTCATGGAGGGCTGAGGAATGGCTGCAAGTTCGTCGTGTGGAGTATTTAGGATGAAAGTTCAGCTTTTCCTCTAATTGGGTTTAGAAAGATAATCACACATTTCCCGTAGACATCTCTTCAGCTGCACGTTACCGGACTGTGTGCTTTGCAATTTGTTTTATGTTGATGAATCTTGGGAAAACCATTCTCTGTTATTTTCACCTCTCCTTCCCTTACCAAATAAGGTATTTTCTTCACATTTTACTACTGAAGTATGAATGTAAATGCAGCCCTTACTTTCACATTCTTCTTTGTGATTCACACTTGATGGAAGCTCAGACTCTAGAAGACCCAACACAACGTTCCAGCAGCCCTCCATCTCCAGGCTGTAATTGCGCCTAATATTTTAAAAGCCATCACAAAAATTGGTGGGTCCATTTACCTTATTGTGGGAGCCCCTGGAGTACAGCTTTCAAGACCCTGATGGCCCATTAGGGGCATCCATTAAACCCGGCTGCATTCCCATTCCAGAAATGGCACAGATGATAATCACACTCACCTGATTAACCTTTTCAATGAAAAATGTATGTCATCAAGATTCTTCTGTACCATTTAATTTGTTAGGCCATTCTGGGCGTGCTGACTTTGTGCAGCATTGGACGACCTTATTAGAAGAAACACTCGTAACAGTTAGTGAGATGCCTTCCTCCACCCGAATGATAACAAATGCATTTTATTTGTTTGTTTTAAAACAGGTTTTGCCTGGCATTCTGCAGAAGCATTGCTGTATCTTACCAGACAGGAATACAGGTAAATACATTTCATTCTTCTGATTTGAGATTATAGGTTTCATATCAGTAGCAAAATTGAGAAATGTGATTACCTAATTTAGATATTTTGTGCATTTTTATGTTGTGGGTTGTTTTTAGTGCAAGGTTGCATATTAACTAACTGTAAGATGTGAAAATAGGATATTTAGTTCTGTAATGAGTTATGAGCTGAGCCCAGAGATCTGTTTTTATTTGACAGAGGAAATTGATTTATTAATAGATGATTGTTGTATTAGGTTTTTAAGGGAAAGTGGTTGTCTTATAAACTTGAATTTGTTGGTTTCAAAGCTGTTTCTTTTGCTAATTATACTTATTTATTAAGGAAAAAACACCATTTTTATTGGCTAGAGTGAAATGTATTTGGAGTCTGTTTGCAGTCAAGGCCTTTCTTTGTGATCAGGGAAGGAACTGGCTAGATGTTATGTTCTTAAAACCCCCAAGGTCTCAGTGAATAAAACGTGGGCATGAATGTTTTGAAGTGGGAGATGCGTCTCTGTGTAACTTCTCATGACAGGACAGGTGTGTGTGGCTGGTGGTTGTGAGGAAGTGTTTTGCGTGACTTTTAAGGAAACGTGACGAAGAAAGAGAAGGTCTAAAAAAAACTTTGTTATCATACAATGAAGGGGAAAAAGAATCAGTCGGGGCTTGTTATCCTGTGGATATGGATCTGCGTTTTTGTTATCTTCCTGCAAGAGTTCTGATTTATTTTTATCAAAGAAATTGCAAGTCCTGAGGAAAGTAAAGAGAAGGTGCCTCTTTCGTATGAGACGCTGTGCGAGTTTATTCATTTCTAAAAGCAATCATGTTCTGTCAAGTATGTATTTGTGTCCCAGGATATCTTAGTTGGGTATGAAACAGAGGTTTGCTGACATTTTCTTACTTGTTTTCTAGCTATAACAAGTTAATTACAAAGACTCTTCCATGGTAATTAGAAGAATTTAATTTGTTGGGCTTTACAGTTGACTCACCACTAAGAATGGCATCTCAGTAGCCAACGTTGTCTGTATTATACATTCCAGAGTAAAACACCGGGTGTTTTGAGAAAAATACAATCTTTATTTATTAATTATGAGCATGGATGGATGACATTACTGATAGTACTCTTCTTCAAACACAGAACTGTCCCTGTTTTGTTTTTCTTTACCCAGTCAGCTGTGTCTCAGCTACAAGTTTGAGTATATCTACTGCTTACGGGGAAGCTCGTTGAGTGTGTCAGATATTTTTGAGCCTTTTTTTATTTTCTGGAAGTCTTGGTTATAAGTAAAATTATATGAAAAACTCACATGTGCAAAAACAAAGATTTTGGCAACTGTGTCCATCAAAGTCAGCATCACAAAATTTTTTAAAAGAAATTAATTTTCCGGGTTCTGGTGAATCATTACTCTGATTCTAAGAAACATCAGAAATAACGATAAAATAAGTTAAAAGCTAACTACTGTGGGCATCTCAGTGGGTCTTAAGTATGGAAATGCATTTTCTTTGTTTTTTTTTTTTTTTTTTTTTGACAATTTGTTCTGTTAATGGTTTTAAGTTAATTTGGAAAACATCGCCAACTGGAGATGTTTTATTTGCTCTTCATGAGACTCTAAGTAATCAATCTGTAGAACCAAGAGAGTTGCCTTCCATTGGGGCCTCAATGCAGAGGACAGTAGCTGGGCAATTTCCTCAAAATTATTTTTATATTATGGAATGTTTCATGTCGTGTCAGCTGTGGAAGACCATAGGCTTTAATATTTGGTGTGGATAAGGGAAGGAGGGGCTCCAGAGAAGAGAGAGGAGTTGGTTGAGATTATAACTCTTAAAAGTGTAAGTCCATTCAGAATGGAAAGATGGGGAGAATTCTAGCTTTTAGCAAAGAATTTGCTCCAGTATGTCCAAAGCTGCTTCATGATTTAGAAGATCTCGTTTGGAAACGTCTTCGGACCTCAACACAGCGGAGGTTCTCGGTGAAAGCTTTTGCATTTCAGTGGCATGTAAAGGTCCTTGTAAGGGTGACTGTAATGTTCTTCTACCTTAATGGTTTTGTGGAAGCGTTTTCAAAATTTCTCATTAAGGACATTAACTTTGGAATGGGCACCAAGTTTCTATTTTGGAAGGTGAAGCGCGTTCTGCAGAAGGAGGATGGGGACGGCTGCCCAGCAGCAAGAACGTAGCGAACGCTCCGAACTGGCTGCTTAGGCAGCAGCACCACGGTGGATTCTGCGTTACGGGTGCTTGACCAGAATTAGAAAGAAGATTAACTTTGGGATGAATCATCACTTTTTTCTCGTTTGGTTTTTACTTATTTTAGAAACGCTTTATACTCCATTAATTTTATACATGTCATGTTTCTGAATTAAACATGGCTGCTTGTGAAAGATAAATATACTATCATTTTCTCTTGCAGTTTTGATTACTTGTGATGGTTTTAGGCAACGCCGTGAAGCGTCAGAGGGAATTCCACTGGTTACTTTCCCATACGGTCTTGTTTGGCTGCTTGTTCTCAGAAAAGCGTGTTTGTTGGTGGAGAATGTGACCAAGGTGACCATCCTTTTCATGAAGGCACAAACGTGAATGCATATGTAGCTTTTAAGCCTTAAAAAAAAAAAAAAAAACCCAAAACACATTTATGCCTGTCTTTAGTTCCAAGCATTCTTGCCTTTTCTTGCTTTGGTGACCCCTGATTGGCCTTTCACAGGCCTTTGGTTTGCGACCTACCTGGAGTGGGCGTTGAAGCCAAAATACACAGAAAGGTGGAGTGACTTGGGGAAGAGTGGACGTCTCAGGTGTCTGGATTTTAGCAGCTGCCTCTGGCTTGAATCCAGCATCACCTTTTACTAGGATTGGTGTCCTTGGAGGGGGTGTTCCATCCTTAGCACACCTTTTTTGGTTAGCGGGCTATAGAAAGGATCGCCAAGCAGGGCAGGCCTTGGGCACGGCATCCTGGACGCGCCACCACGTTTGGACTGAAGGCAGGCCCACTTGCTGCTGGACTCGGGCTGTCGAGTTTCTGGTGAAACTCAAGGCATTGTGCAGTTAAAATAGTCCCAGATGCCTGCTGATTCCTGCGTGGAGCTGGAATCCTCATTTGAGGAGTGACTTTTTCACAAACATCCTTTCATGACGAGTCGCTGTTTCCTGAGGGAAAGTGAACCTGTCTAAAGTTTTATAGCCAGGTGTGCCTCCTAGGAACAGGTGTTCCTCCTAGCAACAGAGACCTCTTACAGTTGCTTTAGTACTTTCGACCCAGCTGGAGGGGTGAGAACTTTGGTTCCATGGTGAAGAGATGACGCGGCCTAAGCGGTGTGTTTTCCTTCAGGGACTCTGTTTCTTAGGATGTGTGTATAATGTACGTTGGAAGGATGCTGGAGAATGTTGGAAGAATGCATGTATAATGTACGTTGGAAGGATGCGGGAGAATGTTGGAAGGATGCTGGAGAATGTTGGAAGGATGCGTGTGTAATGTATGTTGGAAGGACACGTGTATAACGTATGTTGGAAGGATGTGTGTATAATGTATGTTGGAAGGATGTTGGAGAATGTTGGAAGAATGCATGTATAATGTATGTTGGAAGGACACTGGAGAATGTTGGAAGGATGCATATATAATGTAGGTTGGAAGGATGCTGGAGAATGTTGGAAGGATGCATGTATAATGTATGTTGAAAAGATGCATGTATAATGTATGTTGAAAGGATACTGGAGAATGTTGGAAGAA